GGGATCCGAACCCTCGGGGGGGAGCGCCGCCGCGCTTCCCAAGCGGCGCACTATCCAGTGCGCCACCGGGCCGGCCTTTATCTCCATTTTAAAGTCAAGAAAAGTGAGGCTTAGGGAAGGTGACAAGATCACATGAAATTCTAGCAGATCTTAAACCCAGAGTCTGGATCTTCTGGCTCCTAGTCTGGGGCTCTTTTGACTTTTCCCAAGCCAGCTCTCCTGTATATATATGATGTTGTCTAATAATGCAGAAAACCTGAAAGCTATTTACAGAGACTTGTGGTGGTTGTGCTAGGAATCTCTGGGAAAGCTCACCACTGAGGATGGACGTGTCCCTACGGACAGTGGGCCAGCTCTGTGCGCTGTCCAACCCAGGGAGAACCTGCCCCAACCTGCAACAGAGCAGGGACAACAACCCGTGACTGGTAAGATTAATTCTTCGTTTATTAAGCTTAAAGGTAGGAGGGTAGATACCCCAATAAAAGTGTTTCATCTGGATAATTTTGAGGAGAGAAAAAACCCTCATACAAATTAATGACATTAAAACACTGCCTCTTTTTTAACAATTTTATTATATCATTGTGCCTAAACTCATAGTTTTTTTTGTTTGTTTGTTTGTTTGGTTGGTTTTGGCAGCTGGCTGGTAAGGTGATCCAAACCCTTGACCTTGGTGTTATCAACACCACACTCTAACCAAGTGAGCCAGCCGGCCAGACTTTTAAACTTATAGTTTTAATTCCATGCTGAGTGTATCCATTTTCAGTTACTTGATGCTATTTACTCATTTTGTGATATGAATGAGACGCAGGATGAATGGGAAGGATGCCCCATCCTTCAGAATCTCAACACTCTGCTTATGTGAAATCACGTGCACTGAGAAATGGCGATAGGAACCTCCACAAAGGAAGAGTAGACAATCCATACTGAAAAACTGTCATAAGCGTTCATCAGATGGAGTAACATCATGGAAGCAGAAATCATCTCAGTATTTATTTGCCTACCTGTCATCTAGTAGTTTTCCAAAATAATATTGCAAAACATGATTTTTTTAAATCAAGATGAATTGACTTTGCTGCTTTCATTGGAGGCCTTTCTTAAAAATTAGTATTCTAAATTTGTACTCTGCGGGGTGGGAGATTCTCAGTGGCTGGCGGTCACTGTGATGGCCATTTGTCGAGCTTCGCTGGAGTCTTGTGGTCCCTCTGCTGCTGGCAGTAGGTCCTTTACCTGCTGCAGTGCTGGCCTTCTGATTGGTCAGAAACTACGGTGGCAGAGAGAAATGAGATAGCCTCACTTGTTAAGTCTGTCCTATAAAATTTTAAGACCTCAGAACTCTATACCTTGATGGCTACTCACAGAAAAAAACACAAGCCCCTAACACCTGAAGCAATGCAGTCCTCCATCAGTGATGAGGCTGTTACTATGGTTTCTGTTCTTTGAGGTTCACATTCGCTCACTGAACAAACATTAACAGATTTTATTTTTTTTTAGCAATTTGACTTTATTGCAAATAACACTTTCAAAATAATGCTTCACATGAGGCCAGCATCTTCATACATTCTAAGAGTGCATGTTCCATATAATGATCCTCTGGAAGTTTTCTTGGAACCCATATTTGCTTTGGAATGGGGCAGGGGAGCAGCGGGGGGATTGTTTTTTTTCACTGACACCGTCATCCTCCTAATTCACAACCTAATGCAGAAAATTCTTTCCTTTCTTGAGAAATTTCTTATTCTAGATAGGCAAGTTTTTCTGAATACTGAGGGTCTGTATCTTAAGTAAATGAATTTGCACAGGTAAAGTTCTCTTGTGTTATATTCAGTGCAGACATTTAGTCTCCCTCCACCCCCTCCCCTTAGAACTGCCCGCCTGTGTTCCATGGTGCTTCGTGCACCTCTGAGAGAGCACTGACCCGGCGTCCTGCAGGCGTGAGGGGGGTTTCTGTCTTCCTCTCTCTGGACTTCCCAAAGGTAACAAGCCTTGAGAAAGGAGAACAGTGTGTCCCTAGCATCCACCAAGCAACCAAAATACTAGGGCCAGGAACTGATTATGTTTAATATGTAATAAATAATATATGTGCTTTATTAATTAACATATAGTCAACATATTGGACCATAATTTGTTTAATTCCTTATAAGCATCCTCATTATGGGGACTGATTATTGAGTTGCATTGACACACTGGCGCCCTCTAGGGCTTGTCGGTTATATGTGATGTATTTGATCCTGATATTTTTTAGAGCTTCTGTCTCTTATGTAGTTTTTTATCTCTCCTTCCCAATTAAAAAGCTATCTGTGACCAACTGGTCCTGCTGACACCTTGACTGCTAGTAGCAGCCCTTCTTCCTTGTAGTTTTATTTCAAATAGTTTAGCTGTGGAAGGATGTTCTTCAAAACATATCCTGTTTTAAGGGAAAGAGCCAAAATTGCATAACTGATAAAAGAAGGAACACCTTACCTTTTAAGATAAAGCCTCCTTCTTAAGTTTCCAACACTATATATACACAGCATGGTAGTTAAGCACATGGGCACCACATACAGGCTGCCTGGGTTTAAATCCAAGCTCCAAAGTTTGACCAGGGAAGTGACCCTGGGCAAGTCACTCATGTCCTAGGTTGCCCACCTGTGGGGTTGTTCAGGAGCAACCAATGAAATGATTCATGTAGAGCCCTTGTAACACTAATACCTAATGTGCACTCAGTAAGTTATCTATGTGTGTATGTGACCATCCCAAGGAAAAACATACATATGTATGTATATACCTGCCTAGTATATAATATTCCCTCAGTGAGATATGTATGTATGTATACACACACACACACGATTTTTCTAAGAAAGTTTTCAGAAAGGAACAAAGTTCAACTTGCTGTTTTACACTAAGTGAATGGCCAGCTGAGATGTGCTGGTCATATGTATGTATATACCTGCCTAGTATATAATATTCCCTCAGTGAGATATGTATGTATGTATATACACACACACACGATTTTTCTAAGCAAGTTTTCAGAAAGGAACAAAGTTCAACTTGCTGTTTTACGCTAAGTGAATGGCCAGCTGAGATGTGCTGGTCGTGAGGTCTGATTTTTAGATCCTTTTCAGCTTTCCAGCAATAACTAATTCTCTCCTTTGATGGTTGGCTCCCAGAAACGAGGAGGAAAAGAGGTGGCAGCTGTTGGGAGAGCTGTCAGAGCTGTGCGAGAAAAGCCCCGACGCAGCATAGGGGGGATAGACCCCTTGTTCGTCACTAAATTTTTAAATTAGCTCTGCTATGAAAGGAATGCATGTTGATTATAAAACTTAGCAAAGGAGGAGGAAAAGAGGTGGCAGCTGTTGGGAGAGCTGTCAGAGCTGTGCGAGAAAAGCCCCGAAGCAGCATAGGGGGGATAGACCCCTTGTTCGTCACTAAATTTTTAAATTAGCTCTGCTATGAAAGGAATGCATGTTGATTATAAAACTTAGCAAAGAACAGTTGAGAGGGAAAATTTAAAAGATAGCATAAAAATCACCTAAGCTGCAGAAAAAAACTCTATTAATATTCTGGTATGTATCCTTTCAGTCTTGTGCATATATGAGTGTGTAGAAAATAAATATATCATAGACTTGTTCTTTTCTTGTTTAAAAAAAAAAAAAAAAAGACTACATGGTCACCAGTACCTAATGACCTTTTTTACCTCATATATCCATAGAAAATAATATTTTCTGCTGGGGTCAACAGGACTGCTCCTAAGCCTGCATGAGTTGAGCCAGCCCTGGCGCTAACAATTTGATACTAGCACACCTGTACCCTACTCTAGTGAGGAAGCCACACTGGTGTCCCCCGAGTCCCTCCACACCTACAACTTCATCTGTGAAGGCTGCTGGGCCTTCCGTCTTGCGGAGGTGCTGTCATTGAGCCCATATTCCTCCCACTACTGGGCATTTAGGGAGTTTCCAGATGAAAGATTATTTTGAAAGGTGACATCAAAGGCTGCCTGCCTCAGTGTTACTTCATCTCCCTCAAATAAAACTCTTTGAAGTTACACACTTGGCAATAAAGTCAAATTGCTAAGAAAAATGGCCTGTTAGGATTTGTTCAACGAGTAAATCTGAAACTAAAAAACAGCCTTTAAATCCCTTCCTTTTGTGTCATTGCGACTTTCCCCCAAATTTTGGTGTCAGCAGAATCAGGAAGGTTATGCTTAAGGGAGTTCAGGAAAGGCTGAGCAGAGAAGGAAAAGAGCAGGTGGATTTGAATCTCGGCAGGTCCCTGGCCTTTCACTGGGGGTGGCCTGGGAGAGTGATGTGCGGTCTCCATGGGCATCTTGATGATCCAAGCTTGTTATGGCCCAGTGCTCTACACAGAGGCCACATAGTTAGGGTTCAGGTAGGAGCATGACTGTGGAGCCAGCTTCTTGGGGTGACCCCTGGCTCCACCACCTGTGGGCTCTGTGATGTAGGATGTGTTGCTTAACCACCCTGCACCTCCTTTCCTCATCCTTCCAGTGCACATGGTGACAGGACCTACCGAACAGTGTCGGGAGAAAAACTAATGCATGAAAAACTCTTAGCATGGTGCTAAATCCTTCATTATTGGAAAAACTCTTAGCACAATGCTAAATCCTAATAATTCATTCTTAAATATTCACATAGGAACTTCAGGAGAAAAAAACATACATGATTAAGATGGTTTTCTGTGGGAGATATTGGATGAATATAACATCTGGGGTAGACATTTCTCAAATGAGCAGCTCTTGAGTGACTGAGTTTTCCACTCCAACCTCAGACCCACAGTTCCTAAGGAAATAGCTAATCCTGTGTTCTTTTTTATGCCAGTTTCCCCCCCTGTTGCAAGATGCAATGTGCCAGAGGTGGGCAGATTAGCCCGAGAGTGTGCAGGGACTTAGAAGGAGACACCTCCAGGACAGAGTGGCTCTCGGAACCATCTCATGGATGACCTGACCTCCCCGTCTGCTGGCACACGTCACCTTTCCCTGCTGCCTCTGAGATTTCAGGCTCTTTCTTGCTTCTCTGCTTTCCTTCCACTGTCTCTGCTTTCTCCTCGTCGCTGTCTGCCCAAACCATCCCTTGTGAACCTCACACAAGTCCCCACCTCCTCTGTCAAGGCTCCGGGAATAGTCTGGACTTCGGGTTCTCGCACTCTTCCAAGCTTCGTCCAGAGCTAAGCTCCATGTAGACTTTGTGTCCCGTGTGTAGCATTCTGTATGTTTTCCCTGGGTAGCCTCATCTCCTGTGCTTTAGGTTTGGTGCTTGGGCTGTTTTTGTCCAGTATCGCTCACATCTCCAGCGGGAGGCTAAGCCCAGACGCTGGACTGAGAGCCGCAGGACCTCTGCAGAATCCATGCAAGAGCTAAGAACTAAACAGAACAACAGCCTGACTCCTGCGGCTTCTGTGAGAGTGGATCACGTAAAGAAACCAAGTGAAGGATTTCTGGTGTTCCCCAGCCTTAAAAATAACCGAAAGAAAGAAAAACAGGCAGACACAAATGTTCCTTCTGCCAGCTAGTCTGAGTTACTTTAGAGCATCCAAAGCAGGCTGGTATTTGTTAGATGTGTATGCCCTGTAATTTCAGAGACAAAAACAGAAAGACAAGAAGGCCCACATTTAGGATGTGGAATGTCTTTCTGAAAAAGAAAAAAAAGTACTGAGATTGTTTACAACTTTTTTAAAGCTGAGAGGTTCTCTGTTTTCTCACATGTCCCCTTTATCTCCCCTACGACCCCACTTTTGTCTGCATTCTCCCAGGACTGGACGGCTCCCCAGGTCTCATCCCTTCCTTGAGGAAGAAGGGGGCCGCTGGTCCTGACCCCAGCAAGACCTCAGTGGACACAAGGCAGGTCCGGCCTGCGCCTCCCAGGGCCCCCGAGTCCGAGGGCAGATGTGCCGTCCACGTGGCCTGCGAGTGCAGCATGTCCCCAGGGGAGAAGGCGGCAGCTCGTGCTGACCTTGGCGAGACTCAGGCAGCTCCAGAAGCCAGCTCGCCCCACTACACCGAGAAGGCGACTGGTCCCCGGGGAGTGGAGCACGGGGCAGAGGGAGTGACTCCAGCTAGTGCCATCCCATCACGAGACTCTCTGACAAGCCAGGAGAAAAGACAAGAAGCTCCGGGTAACCACAGCCAGGCTTTGCCAGCGACAGGAATCTGTGTGCCTGAAACACTTCGGGAGCCTGCCCTGCTCGAGGCAGCAGATTCCATGTCTGCAAGGACCCTGCAGGCCAGCCTCCCCCTGCCACTGTCCACTGGCAAGGCCAAAGAGGCATGTGGCAGCGCCTCAGGGCACTGCTGCCCTGCGGGGAGCAGGGAGAGCCCCGTGACAGACATCGACAGATTCATCAAGGAGCTGGATGCTTCTGAAGCAAGGATCCAGTCTTCTCAAAAAGGGGACAGTGGGGGTCAAGAGGGCAGCTGTCCGGGTTCCTGCCATGCCGAGCCAGCCACGGGTGACCAGATGCCCTCCCCGAGGAAGGCCTGGGCCCCTGGCGCCCCACCCGCCCCCCAGTGGGCCTCCCAGCCTTCGCTGTTGGATTCCATTCACCCTGACAAACATTTCACTGTGAACAAAAACTTTCTGAGCAACTACTCGAGAAATTTTAGCAGTTTCCACGAAGACAGCACCTCGCTGTCGGGCCCAGGCGACAGTACGGAGCCATCTCTCTCGTCCATGTACGGCGATGCCGAGGACTCCTCCTCTGACCCTGAGTCGCTCACGGAAGCCCCGCGAGCTCCCACCGGGGACAGCTGGCCCCCTCCCCGGTCTCATGGGTCTTCTCACAAGGAAGACACTACAGAGTCTGAGGAGGAGCAAATCGAAATCTGTTCCACAAATGGCTTGCCTGATCCACCCGCAACGCCTCTCCCTCCTGCCCAAGCTGCACCCTGCCCTGCTCTAGCCAAAGTCCTGCCATTGAAACACAGTGCTCCGAGTGCATCGCTGCAGAACCCATGTGAGACAGCCTCCTTCTTGCCAGGGGCCTTGTGCACTTCAACCCCAAATGCTTCCCAACCTTTTTCTCTCTGGGATATAAGCTCTCAGGAGCAGGAGACTTGTGCAGACGTAAGCGTGTTGCAGGACCCCAGGCCCTCGTGTGCAGAAGACACTAGGGAGACTACCAGGACTAGCTCAGCCGAGGAAGACAGTCAGCCTTCTAAAGTCACCAGGCACTGTCACAACCCCCCGGCCACTCTCAGCTCCCTTAACTTGGTAAATGGGCTGGAACATGACCTGCTAGATGATGAAACCCTGAATAAACAAGAAACAAATGTTAATGCAACTGAAAATCTGTCCTCCTTGAGTGTGGCTGTCCCTAAGAACGGAGAATCTGTTTTGGCAAGCCTACACATCTCTGAAAGTCAAGACCTGGATGACTTGCTACAGAAACCAAAAATAACCTCCCGGAGGCCCATCATGGCCTGGTTTAAAGAAATAAACAAAAATAACCAAGGTACACACTTGCAGAGCAAAACTGAGAAGGAACAATCCATGGTGGCAGCCAGAAGCCCTGACTCCAAAATTCAGATACTGAGCTTGAACCACAAAAAGGGGCTTGCCATGGCCAATAGCCCTCCTCAGCTGAAGATGACTCTGGAAAATAAAGACCCACCTAAAAAAGGTTCCATGGAAACACTTCTGAGTAACTGTCAGAAGCCCAAATGTGGCCCCAAGTTGAAGAGACTGAGCATCAAAAATAAAAGCAAAGTCAGTTCGGAGGCCCCCGCTGCAAACACTGCCAAAGCTGGTGGGATAGACCACAGGAAATCCTTCATTTCACCCCAGAGCTCCCACAAAATGCTCTCTAAGGTAGTGTCACACCGATCCCAGGTAGCTGACCAGGAGGGGCCCGACAAACACACCGTAGCCACCCCCAAGTCTCCCCAGTGTGTGCTGGAGGGCAAGCCACCCCTGGCCGCCCCTGGGTCACTGAAGCCCTCGGCATCAGACACGAGCATCAAAATGCCCATTCCACCCCCGAGCTTCACCAAGATTCTTCCTGAGCAAGATGCATGTAGTAGGTTCCACACGGCTGTCCACTCAGAACCCAGCAGAGGCTGCCCAGCTGCCCCCAGATCCTGTACACGTGGGCCAGAGGGCGAGGTGCCCTGTGCAGACTCTGGGCTGGGGAGTCCCGCTGCATCAGGGAGCAGTGCGTCCATGGCAGGGAACAGACAGATGGCCTCAGCATCGGAAGCCACCCAACCCAGGGTGCCTGGCGAAAAAGGAAGCAAAACCATTGCTGGTGATCCCCTAGAGAGAACAAACCAGCTGAAACTAGTTGAGATTTCTTCTGAAAGAATGCCAAAGAGTGGATGTGGTGACAAGCCAGCTGAAAGTGTCAGACGGGGAGGGTTGTGGGCCCAGAGCAGCTGTCAGGAACAGAATGAAATCAAACTCTGTCACCACTCCGTGGAATTGTGTGCCTCCCAGGTGGAGCAGGAAATGCACAGATCGCTCAGTGTGGCCAGGTTGGCATCCTGGTCCCCCCAGCTGCATGCTAAAAAGACAGATTCCCCCCAGGGACCGTCAAGCCAGCTGCCGGAGGCCCTAGGAATGCCCAAGAACGGCACACCCACTGGCCCCGCGGGGGAGGACCATCCCTACTTCACACCACGGCCAGCGACCAGGACCTACTCCATGCCAGCCCAGTTCTCGAGCCATTTTGGACGGGAGGGTCATGCCCTACACAGCCCAGGTCACTCTCCTCAGAACAGCCAGACCCCTGTGGCGAGCCGTGGTCTCCTGGAGGCAAAGGCATCCAAGGGCAGCCTTCTCGGCCTGGTTAATGGGCACAGTGTGTACAGTGTCAAGCCTCTGCTGGAAACGTCGGGGAACCTTCCAACAACAGACCCAGGGGAGATCATTTCCATACAGGAGACGAGCTGCCCAGTCACAGACAAAATCAAAGTCACCAGAAGACATTACTACTATGAGCAGAACTGGCCCCATGAATCTACCTCATTTTTCTCTGTGAAGCAGAGGATCAAGTCCTTTGAGAACCTGGCCAATGCTGACCGGCCTGCAGCCAAGCCCGGGCCTTCCCCCTTTTTGTCGGTGAGCTCCAAGCCCCCCATTGGGCGACGGTCATCTGGCAGCATTGCCTCGGGGAGCCTTAGCCACCCCGGTGACCCAGCAGCGAGGTCACTGAGGCGCAGCTTGAGTTCCTGCAGCGAAAGCCAAAGTGAAGCCAGTGCCCTTGTCCCCCAGATGACCAAGTCCCCGTCCAGCATGACGTTGACTGTCTCCCAGCAGAATCCACCAGAGACCAATAACAAGGGCCCTGAATCAGACCCCCCCAAAAAGTTTGGTTCTTCAGGAATTCCCACCCCCACAGTGACCCCAGCCTCTCCCGTCAGGAGGAACAAGTCCTCGGTGCGCCACACACAGCCCACGCCTCTCTCTCACTCTAAGCTCCAGGAACTGAGGGCCTTGAGCATGCCTGACCTGGACAAGCTCTGCAGCAACAATTACACGGCAGGACCGACCACCATGCTCTTCAAAACCGAGCTGGAGATCGTTCCCAGGAGGTCGCTTGGCTCCCCTGCTAGAGGCCTCGATGGACCAGCTGCCCTTTCATGTCCCAGGAGTGGCAGGAACAGGGCCTGCCCAGGAGGAAGCAGCTCGCCAGCCAGGGAGCCTCGGACACCCAGTACAGCCAACAATGTGGGTGAAACCACCCAGGATCTAGAAAAAAGCTGGTCAGTAACGTAAGTATCTGCCCCTCCCCTTTTATTTAAATAAACTTGTTTTATTTTGGAATAGTTTTAGATTTTTAGAAAAGTTGCAAAGATAATACAGAGTTCCCACGTACCTCTCACCCAGCAATTCCTGACGTTAACCATCATAGATAACCACAATCCATTTATCAAAAGTAAGAAATCAATGTCAGAACAACACTATTAACTGAACTATAGACTCTATTCAAATTTTGCTGAATTTATTCCTCTAATGTCCTCTTTCTATTTCAAGATCCAATCCAGGATACTACAGTGCATCTAGCCCCTTTATTACTGGAAAAATAAAAGTGCCTGCAGGGAAAAAGCATTTGTCAAAATGTTGCTCTGAGTAGAAAATTCTACAGGACGTGGCACTTAAACAAAAGCAACGCAAGAGGGAGATGGGCGGGTGGGGAAGGAAAGGAAGGGGAGGATCTGGGTCTTTGAAGGTGGATGGAGTTAAATGGGAAATTTCTAACATTTTAAAATATTTCACTTGAGCCTATAAATGTTTTTAAATATGGTCAGAAATGTTCCATTAAACTCCTGCATTGGTCCCCTCACATCTCGGAGGGATTCCTGAATCCGTAGCCCTCCCCTGGCCTTTGGCAGTGAGTGGCAGTCCTGATCCGCACACAAGATTCTTCAATTAGTTTGGAGTGGGCGGTGTGACCGAGAGAGCATGAAGATCAGAAAATACCTGCAATGTAGTAGGAAGGTGGTCATGTTAAATGCATCCTTACAAGATGGAGAACTTGCTTTTTTCTTTAATGTTTCTCATATATATTTATATTATTTAGTTTGGATCAACTCCTTGTCTCGGCGGAAGACCAGCAAAGATTACAGTCTGTTTTATCATCAGTGGGGTCAAAATCTACCATCCTAACTCTCATTCAGGAAGCGAAAGTACAATCAGAGGTGAGTGAAATGCAGGAATCACTGCGGTAGGGTCAGTGCCCAGGTGTGGGTCACCAGCACAGACAGCCAGGGAGAGCCTGCCCGAGTCCTGGAACAGCTGCCTGGGGTTGTGAGTTGGACTCAGTCTGACTTCACTTGCTGCTAGCAGACTTCAGAAGCTAGACCTTGTCTTGAATGTTCAGGTGCCACAGTGCTGTTTAAATTCCCCTGTACCGACTAGTTACCATCCTCCCCATCCCTGCATTGGGAGTTTGTCTGCAGAAGGTCCTCAAAGCAGAACTAGGCACCCTGGAGATTTTGGAGAATGACCACAGTGCCTCTGTCCACCTACGTGTGGACATAAACTACCTAGTCAAGGGAGCCACCTGCTGGTGAAGGAAGAGTTATGTAGGTGTAATCCTACCATGGCCTGAAGTACAAGACAAAGAAGCTAATTAGTAATTACAAATAAAGTCTTTAAATAAGTCAGATGTGACAGTCAACAATAACAATAGAAACCATGGGTTCACATCTAGGACACTTCTCTGAAGAACAATATTAATTCAGGACTGTCCATAGAAATTTGAACCCTAATACAAATGAATATTTTCTATTTAGAGAAAACAGCAATATGAATCATTTTTCTTTAGTAGTAATGGGCCTGGGTCACTAATGTCATCTAAGAACACTGTTCCAGAAATTTGAATATTACCCAGCGGGGGCTGCAAGATTTCTCAGCTAAGGAGCAGCCTCGGCATCTAATCTAGTAAGAGACTGGCTGCGATGGCCAGGAGGTGGTTGCAACAGAGGAGACAGATGTCAGCACTTTCCACATTCAGTGAGAGGGAACATTCCATTCTCTCCCTACCTCCCTCAAGGTGTCGCCATAAGCAAGCATTTCACGTGTGGAAGTCTCACTCTGGGACTTCCAGTCAAGGTGGCACAGTGGGGTCACGCTTTGCCGGGTCCCCTTTGCCCCATATTACAATATTATATAAAACGTAAAAGGAGAAAACAAAAAAGTCTCAACCAACCACACAAACAAGTTGCACATTTTCAGGGAACATAAACAAAATAGACTGTGTGTGGACAGGATGCTTAGATCTGTCCTTAGGGGCATCTTCTGGGACCTTCTGTGCTGCTGCCCCACCCCCCACCACCATATTCACCACCAGGCAAGTGTTGTGGTTTGGTGTTGGAGACCATTCCTGCTTTCATCAGTAAGCAGCTTTCTTATTTTCTTACTGTCTTCAGTTGATTTCAGAGAGTAGTGGTGAGCAGAGATTTCCTCACTCTGCCGTCTTCAGACTAGAAGTTTCCTGCCTTGCTTTTTTCCAGTGAATATGGTTTGTAGGTGCTAAAACTTGAACTGCACAGAACTACTCCCTGTGGCCGCACGATGGTGCGTGAGAAATTAGAGAGGGGCTGAAAACAAGCCCCGGGTTTCCTACTGCAGCACACCCACACTTTGCAGAGCTCCTGAGGGTTGCCCTGACCTCCCTGACACTATGCTGAGCCTCTCAGAGAGGCCCAATTTGGCCTGTCAGCTTCTAGTATACTTGTATCCTCAAGCACAACTGGAAAAAAAAAATAATCTGAATAAATAAAAATTTTGGTGAGAACATGTCCTAGAATACAGAAGAATATTTTCAAATATTCTTTCCCTTTATTGCAATAAGGCATTTAAATATCTGAGAAGTTTTCATATTTCAGCATCGTTACCTCCCAGAAGCTGCACAGAAATCATTTACTGGGTCACTGGGTCACATATGTCTGTTTTTGTTTAGAAAGCCTAGTTGCCCCATGGCTCACTCAGGAGAGTACGGCGCTGGTAGCACCGAGGCCGTGGGTTTGGATCCTATATAGGGATGGCCGGTGTGCTCACTGGCTGAGCATGGTGCAGACCACACTATGCCGAGGGTTGCAATCCCTTTACCGGTCAAAAAAGAAAGCCTAGTTGTCATCCTTCTTTTCATGGATCTGTGCCTGAGCACATACATGGTTGAAGGTGCCCATGAAGTTCACATCCCAACCCCCCAAAAGTTCTGCAGGACATTCTAGTATCAGCATATGGGGCCTTGGTTTGAATGAACTTTTTTAGAGAGGTATAAAGTGCTTGGAATTGGTCCTCATGACTTAGGAATAAGATTAAACACTTTTTCTTTTAAATGCTGGGTTCCTCCCCAGCACATTATAGAGGTGGTTTTCTCCACCAACATTTTCACTTTCTCTCATCAAATCAGTCCTTAAGGGTTATTATTAGGTCTTGTTCTATTGCTATGTTTGAGAATTCCTAGAAGTGATGGATGATAAATCACTTCATGTGAAACCTAGCAATGCAGATCTTTAAAACGTTGATGAATCATATCACGGGGGCGACACTGAGGGTTGCGATCCGTTGCCGGACACGGAAAAAGACAAAAAGGAAATAAATAAATAAATAAATATCTGAGAAGTTTTCATATTTCAGCATCAATGTTACCTCCCAGAAGCTGCACAGAAATCATTTACTGGGTCACTGGGTCACATATGTCTGTTTTTGTTTAGAAAGCCTAGTTGCCCCGTGGCTCACTCAGGAGAGTGCAGCACTGGTAGCACCGAGGCCGCAGGTTCGGATCCTATATAGGGATGGCCGGTGTGCTCACTGGCTGAGTATGGTGCAGACCACACTATGCCGAGGGTTGCAATCCCTTTACCGGTCAAAAAAGAAAGCCTAGTTGTCATCCTTCTCTTTTGGATCCTATATAGGGATGGCCGGTGTGCTCACTGGCTGAGCATGGTGCAGACCACACTATGCCGAGGGTTGCAATCCCTTTACCGGTCAAAAAAGAAAGCCTAGTTGTCATCCTTCTCTTCATGGATCTGTGCCTGAGCACATACATGGTTGAAGGTGCCCATGAAGTTCACATCCCAACCCCCCAAAAGTTCTGCAGGACATTCTAGTATCAGCATATGGGGCCTTGGTTTGAATGAACTTTTTTAGAGAGGTATAAAGTGCTTGGAATTGGTCCTCATGACTTAGGAATAAGATTAAACACTTTTTCTTTTAAATGCTGGGTTCCTCCCCAGCACATTATAGAGGTGGTTTTCTCCACCAACATTTTCACTTTCTCTCATCAAATCAGTCCTTAAGNTATGGTGCAGACCACACTATGCCGAGGGTTGCAATCCCTTTACCGGTCAAAAAAGAAAGCCTAGTTGTCATCCTTCTCTTCATGGATCTGTGCCTGAGCACATACATGGTTGAAGGTGCCCATGAAGTTCACATCCCAACCCCCCAAAAGTTCTGCAGGACATTCTAGTATCAGCATATGGGGCCTTGGTTTGAATGAACTTTTTTAGAGAGGTATAAAGTGCTTGGAATTGGTCCTCATGACTTAGGAATAAGATTAAACACTTTTTCTTTTAAATGCTGGGTTCCTCCCCAGCACATTATAGAGGTGGTTTTCTCCACCAACATTTTCACTTTCTCTCATCAAATCAGTCCTTAAGGGTTATTATTAGGTCTTGTTCTATTGCTATGTTTGAGAATTCCTAGAAGTGATGGATGATAAATCACTTCATGTGAAACCTAGCAATGCAGATCTTTAAAACGTTGATGAATCATATCTAGTGTGTGGGTGAAGGAAGTCAAAATTCAGAAGAATTAGCCCAGCTAATTTTTTATTTTAAAATCTTTTATTCCAAGATATCATTTGATTGATGTTTGAAACATAAGACAGTCTTTTATTTATTTTTTCTTTTTTTCTTTTTTTAAAATATGACCAGTAAGGGGATCTTAACCCTTGACTTGGTGTTATCAGCACCACACTCTCCGAAGTGAGTGAACCAGCCATCCCCATCTGGGATCCAAACCCATGGCCTTGGTGTTACCAGCATCACACTCTCCCGAGTGAGCCACAGGCCGGCCCGAGTCTTTTATTTCTTTAGGACACTACTGAGAATGTTCTAGTCTCGATATGGGTTGACAGTTTTAACATACTTTGTATTTTAGTGCACCAGTTAATTAATGGCACCTGAAATCCAGTGACCTGGACATGGGGAGGAAAGTGTATAAAACACACGGCCTCAGGTGTTCTTATCCTGCCGTGTGGCACTTTATGCTCTTGCTGGAACTGGCTTTGCTAAATTGTAGACATAAAGAATTGTAGAATAAAGGGTTTCCTTCAAGGTCAAATTGTGTGCTACGGTCAGATTTGGGAAGACATAATCTAATGCCTTAAATGGCTTGAAGATTTGGGAATTCTAAACTGTCCCTGCCCCATCCTTTTTCATGTCCACCTTCCCTGTGGTCTATAAGCTATGGGGTGGACCCTTGAAACTTCCCGTTTAAACACCACCCAGAAGGGATGAAGGATGGTTGAGACGGGGCTCCTCCGATGTTTCTGTGACAGCTGAAGAATCACTGGGGTCAGGGGTGACAAGCACTTACAGAAGGATTTACATCATAGCTTCCTTACTCTTGACGCAAGGAATTTTTTTTTTTTTCTGTTTTCATTAGAATAAAGATGTTTGCTTCATAGTCTTGAATAAAAAAGAAGGCTCAGGTCTGGGATTCAGCGTGGCAGGAGGAACAGATGTGGAGCCAAAGTCAGTCATGGTAAGTGACCATGACGTTAGGCTCTCAGGAAAGTCACTCCTGAAACAGCCTCAGAATTTGATCAGGACACAAATCCCAGTCTGTGGGTTCAGAGACTGCTGGGGTTTGTTCTCTACTTCCAACATAAAAATGGAAAAGTGGGGAAAATAGTATGTAAGATTTTACTGAAAGATAAGCATTTTTAATACATAACTGACACAATGTGTAGGCCGAATGCCAATATGTATAAACACAATTCTGTACGTCCTTATAATGTGCCTAACTTATTTAAGCACTAGAAGAATATTAGAACCAACTGAGCACACCTGCATTTGCTTTTTTTGCATTGCTCTGGGGTTGTTAAGGAGGCCTCTTCACTGGACCAGCCCAGGTCCCATTCATCTTTGTACTATTATTGCCCCACGGATGCTGGGCCCACATCACACACTCGTGAGAAGCTGAGCAAACATGTGAGCAGACTCTGCCGCTTACGTTTGTATTTCCACCCCCACACTGAGTATGTGTTCGGTGAACTATTTGTATGATTTAGAAAACTTGTCATTAGAAAGTTCCTTTCCTACCGATTAGCAGCTACTCTCTTGCTTTCGGTGGAGGTCATAAACAGATGTGGCTCTCGTTCCCTTTTCCTTTTCTTGTCCCAGGTCCACAGGGTGTTTTCTCAGGGGGCGGCTTCTCAGGAAGGGACCGTGAACCAAGGGGATTTCCTTCTGTCAGTCAATGGTGCCTCACTGGCTGGCTTAGGCCACGGGGATATCCTGAAGGTTCTGCACCAGGCACAGCTGCACAAAGATGCCCTCGTGGTGATCAAGAGAGGGAATGACCAGCCCAGGCCCTCCACCAGGCAGGAGCCTCCCACAGCCAACGGGAAGGGCTTGCTGTGCAGAAAGACCGTCCCCCTGGAGCCTGGAATTGGTGAGATATCACTTCAACAACCAGCTGGGTGTCAGCAGCTGAGAGATAAGTAGACTCTGATGGGACAAAAAGGGAAATAACGGCTAACTCTGGGTCAGAAACATTAAACGTTAGTGAAGTCGTCTAGTGTTTTTGGATGCTTCTTGCAAAAGCTGTGTTACAGATAAATTATAAAAATCCCCTCATAGTTCAAGCCACACTGTTGAAGATTTAAGATGCCTGCTCGACCACTTCTCTAAATGTCCTAAGAAGGCAGGAAGCCCCTTCCATATTCACATCCTCTTGTGAGGACTCAAGGGGCTGGTAAGTAAAACAAGAAACCCTTGCAATGGGGGGATCAGGGTTGAAGGAGACATTCCGGATCCCAGATTTACCTTGGGAAACATCAAAGTTGGCATTCTGTCCTGTTTTAGAAGAACATCAGGAAATGAGGGGGCCAAGGTGTTTCTGTGTTTGGAAACAGACTGCAGCCTTATTGAGCCGAGAGCAGCTTACTGGAAGAGGTGCAGAGGCAGATTTTCTCTGTGCCCTCCACACCCAGAGCCTCCGAACTGAGTACCGCCTCTGTCTCTGGGGCGCAGGCTGACGGCCACCCTCAGACGAGTGCTGCGGACTTCTGAATGCCCTCTGTTCGGTGTTCAGGAGTGAAGTCTCCCCTTAGTCCAGAGGGCGAAGCAGAGTCTACAGAAGTTCAGGTCGGGCATTGCCTTCTGGGAGGGGTCTTTTCTTCCTTCTCAGCATCTCTCTTTGAGAAGTCGAGGGTAGCTCAATTCCTCTGCTCGACTGGGCTTCACTGTGGCCTGAGCTGTTTGTAAAGGGTTTGCTGAAAACTGCTGATTCCATTGAACAAATGAGAAACACTTCCTGTCCAGAAGCCCCCGCAGTGGCAGGGGTGTCCTCGTCTTCCTGCTGCTCCGCCTTGAGCTGAGGCCCTTCCCAGTAGAGGCAGCACCTCAGTCGTCAGACCCGCCGTGCCCAGCTTTGCCCTGGCACCGTCTCAGCCGCACGGAGCGTTTTCAGGGGGCTCCTGGCAATTAACCTGTCAAAGGAAACCACCCGACACTTAATCCTAACAGCTTCCAGAGTCTTTAAGACTCAGGAACTCACCTATGGAAGGCTCTCCGTCACTGATAATCACTAAGTATTCCTGCAGCACCTTCAGGGCATCTAGCCTTGAACCAGACCCTGCAGGGCTCATCAATTTGCAAGCACTTTGAGAGCTTAAATGTATGCTTATTCCTAAACTTATTCCTATTCTTAAACCTCTTCCTATTCTTAGATGTATTCCTGTTCTATATTCCTACTCTTTAGAGTCCCGCTGCCCCGGGTCTGCCTGGTCCTGTGCAATATTCCTCACCATCCACTTAGGGCCTGATAAGCTGCACATTAGTGGCAGCTGGAAGGCTTTTCCAAACCCTAATGTACAGGGGGCTGGCCGGTTAGCTCAATCAGTTGGTTAGAGCACAGCCTTATAACCCCCAAGATCACGGGTTCAGTTCCCCTTACCGGCCAGCCACCAAAAACAAAAACAAATCCTAAAGCCCAGGAAATTCCCCCAGCACAGTTAAGTCAGAAACTAAACTCTGACGGGTGGGGGCGGGGTAGCAGCACCTTGTCAGTGTTCCCAGGTGATGCCAGAATGCAGTGGAGTTGAGAGCCACAGTCATAGGCCCGTTTTCCTGTTTAACAGCAAGTAAAATCACTGTGGAAAACCGTGCTTCTCTCAATATTAGTAAAGGTCCTTCAGATCATGTGGAGTGGCTTTCCTTAAACACAGTAATGGACTGGCCTTTATTAGAGATGACGACGGTAGCTCGGCCTCAACCCTAATGAATGCGTTAAGCGGGCAGTTTAATTTGTGTGTGTCCTTCCCCTGCCTCCTGAGCAACTAAGTGCGCCTTTGTGCACAACCCTGACATTTTTGGCTGATACAGCACGTAAGGAAGGGAAATAAAAGGCAAGTTTACAATCCCTGTTGAGCCCCCAGCCTGGCCTCTCCAAACTAGCACACAGAGTGGGCGCCAGTTGGTTGCTGTGGAGCAGGCATCACCATGGAAACGTCTGTGCCCACAGTGGAGCAAGATGCCAGTGAAGGCAGCTGGTGTGTGATGCAGGCCACTATACCGGAGGCAGGGTCTCCCTCCCCAGGAGCACAAGTGGCAGAAGGGGACAGGAAAGAAGCTCCGCGGGGTCCCAGGGAGCTCTGGAGTCAATTATAACAGTCTCACATGAGACTGGGTGCTTCATGAGGCTGAGTTTTTTGGTGCTGCCAATTTTCAGTACCAGATGGTGACACTCTGCTGCCTTCAGTAGGCAGGGAAGGCAGGAAATCAGATTTGATTCCCCAAGAGTGACTTCAGTTCTCACTAAGATGTGTGCTGCCAATGAAAGGGGCTTGACAAGAGCAGCTTGTCTTCTGGGGATTTCTGCTCAGGCATAGAAGCATTCTCCATGCTTGCAGAAACACTGGAGAGCAGAGGACGCAAGTACCACAGGAACACAGCCAGGAGGGCAGCTCCAAATTTGGGAGAGCAACACTAATGCTGGGCCCAAATGTTGTTATAAGTGCATCAAGGTAGATGGGACTCAGTGCCAGGAGCCCAGGGTGCACGAGGTAATGCATCTGGGGGCACCTGGACAAGTGGCACAAAGAGCAACCCTGTCATTTTTATCTTGGCAAATGCCACTGCTGCAGGGAGAAGCGTAGCTGCACATGACATTCTGTGTGTTGAAGTGCTGAAGACCGCGGCTGGGCTGGGACTGAGTCTGGATGGAGGAAAATCATCTATGTCTGCGGATGGGCCCCTGCTCATTAAAAGAGTGTACAGAGGTAATGTCCTAGAAAACTCAATCGGCCTGTTACTACCTGTTTTCTTTCCATTGTACGTCTCAATGAAAAATCAGTGCCTTGCATTTGGAAATCAAGTTTGTTTTTTAAAAATCTGAAATGTTTTTACTGCTTTGTCACAGATAGGATTTAGTGTTTCAGTGCTGTCCACATGACAACCCTATCAGGTAGGTACCATGATTGTCCCCATTTTACAAAAGCAGAAACAACTACAGAGAAATGGAGGCACCTGAGGTCACATAGGCTCAAACCCAGGCGTGTGGCTCTAGAGTCTGTGCCCCAAACCTCTACACTCCACTCCCGAGCTGCACGTTCCTATCTCTGTTCTCGATTGATATTTATTGTTATTGATGGGAACACGCCAAGCTAGGTAATGTCATCAGACTTGCCAGTCAGAAGTCCTTCATATCAGCCAAGATCTTATCGACTAAAATACTGGACTCATAAACTAGACTGTAAGGAAGTTAGATGGGAGATAGATATTACTGAAATAGTTGGTAAATAGGAAGTTTCCTCGTGAACTTGAATAATTCATTTTATGATCTTGGACAGTTCTCAAAAATCTCTTCAGATTCTGGAGCTGAACAATTATATTAACGATATAATTGTACAAACGATATCTATATATAATTACACTCACAAATAGATCAGAAACCCATTTAAAGTAAGAGAATATAACAATAAGTAGGACAGCAGATAATAAGGTTGGTTCTTCTTACCTAAGGGCGGTTGTTTTTTAAATGACCATCTAGATAGTGACCTTGTGGTATATTTCTATAATTACATTGTATTATCCACTTTTCTGTTGCTATAACAGGACACCCGAGACTGGGTAATTTGTAAAGAAAAAAGGTTTACTGGGCTCATAATTCTGGGACAGCTGCATCTGGCACAGGCCTTAGGCTGCTGCTTCTACTCATGGTGGAAAAGAGCAGGCAGCTGGTGGGTATGAGCAGATCACATGGTGAGAGGAAGCGAGAGAGAGGGAAGGGAAGCTCCAGGCTCCTTTAAACAACCAGTTCTCATGGGAACTAATAGAGTGAGAATGTCCTAGGGAGGCCATTAATATATTCATGCGGGACCTGCCCCCCCCCACCCCCCGCCCATGACCCACACAGCTCCCAACACTGCTGCCGTATTGGGGATCAGATTTTTCTTTTTTTAAAGATGACCAGTAAGGGGATCTTAACCCTTGACTTGGTGGTGTCAGCACCACGCTCAGCCAGTGAGCTAACCAGCCATCCCCTATGTAGGGATCTGAACTTGTGGCCTTGGTGTTATCAGCATCACAATCTCCCAAGTGAGCCACGGGCCAGCCCGGGGATCAGATTTTAACATGAGCTTTGGGGGAACAAAGGTTGAGGGGGCAAACAGGTCTAAACTAAATCATGCCTAAGAATTCCAAAGCCTCTCTTCACTCCTGACATATAGTTATTAATAGAGAAAAAAATTTTTTTTAGATATAGAGCTGTATTGGTCTGTTTCTGTTGCTTATATAACAAAATAGATGGAATTAGATAATTTATTTAAAACAACAAAATTTACAGAGGCTGGGAAGTCCAAAGTCCAGGGAACACATCTGGTGAGGGTCTTCTTTGGTGATGGCTTTACAGCAATGCAGGGTTCTCACATGGCAGAAAATGGTGGAGCAGAGAGAGAGAGAGAGACTCATGTGGTCTTCTTTTAAAGCCCTCAGATCCACGCCCCAGACCACCATTATTAATCCATTCACTACAGCCTGGTCCTACAATCTAATCACCTCTTCAAGGTTCCACCTTTCAGTTACCATAATGGGATTTCCCACCCTCAGTAGTTTCCGTGGGGCAGGCCTGGAACTCTGGGTGACACAATTCAATCTTCAGTAAGTTTGGGGGACATTCAATCCACAGCAGGAGCCGTGCTTAAAAATTTTTATGGATCAGAAGTGAAAGTGAAGCCCCTAGTGGTAAGCAGAGCTGCAGTGTAACCCTGTGGCCCACATTAAGCAGGGGCTGAGAACCCCCTGAATTTGTGGGCAACTAGTACCAGACATCTTGTGATGGGGAGAGCTGGCACCTGATCTCTGCAGTGAACTGGGGTCAAAACATCTCTGCTTTACTAAGACAGGCTGCCTGCTCATGGCCCATGGGCAAGTAGAAGACAGACACAGATCAGAATTCAGGCCCCTGCTATGTGTGGTGTGCTGTGTGTGGCCCCTGGGCTTGTGATGCCAGGATAGAAAACCCCAGATTCATTAACTCATCAAGTTGACAGAGTATTAGAATCCAGAGAGCCAAGCTAGAGCAAACATGAAACAACTCAACTGCAAGAGCACTCACAAGGGACAGCTTTCACACCAGGAGTACAAAGTATATAAGGACACATCTATTGCTATCCATATGAAGACAGAATCTGTAAAAATATAGAATAAGCCACAAAAAACACAGCACAGGGGAGTAAAGAGATAAAAATTACAAAAGGGTGATAAGAGATAAGAAATTTCAGAAGGAAAACACAGAATAAGAAAAAAGAAATATTTAGATAAGTCATGACTAAGAATTTTCTAGAACTGAGAAACAAAAGGGTTACTCAATTGAAAAAACTCATCAAGGGCAAAATGGCTGAATTTTATAAAAACCCAAACCTTGATGTATCACAAAGTTTCAGAATGTAAGGATTAATAAAATACCAACCAGCCACCAAAAAAAGAAATAAAATCTAAAAAGCGAAGAGAAAATTCAGATTGTTCACAAAGGCACTACTATCAGACTGGCAACGTGAATGACTGAAGCCAACAGAATAACACCTTCAGAGGACTGAGGGAAAACTTATCAGCTTCAAATACTATACCCAGCTAAACTATCACTCGAGCGATAGTGAGATGGGTTTTTAAAGACACTGTAATGAAAGGAGCTGGAGTCACTGCCTCCATGGTTAGTCACAGGACACGCAGCCTTCACAGGTCAAGAGCACAGCCCAAAAAGGTATCCAAGGCCTATGAGCCAAAGGACCAGAGCTGAAGCCGGCTAAAGCAGCACCTGGGCTGTGATCGGCTGGGGAGGCCAGGCTCAGGGATCCCACAGGA